TTTGCCAAGTCTTCTCTTGCAAGCTCTGCATATCACACTCACCTCCATACTCTTTTGGTAATATGTGTTTCGGAACGTGTTCATATAAATTTTCGTAATTACGACCATGCACGTAAAACTGCACATGAAAGAAAAAAAAAAAGAAAAACAAAATGATATTAAATATATTAATGCAATTTGTTTTAATATTTTTTTTTTTTAATGAACTGCATTGGCATACCCGTTCTCTCAGCTTCGCACTAATCACTGACTTTACCATGTTGAAGCAAGTTTCAAAAATCGTTGGCACCTTTAAAAAATGAAAGCCTCTCATGCGTGATGGTGAACATTTGTTAGCTAGAATTACCAAATCTCTTGCAAAACTTGGTTGAAAACTTAATACGACATCTTTCTTTAGATCACCCAAGTCCATTATAAGCACATAACCAGACACAATTGCATTGTCATCTTCATAGAGTAAGAAATCCGTATACATTGAACCAACTCTGAACACATCCATAATACTGTGTATCTGCATGTCAAATTGGTTGGCACGTATCATAACAACGCGTGGACCATCTGGTGCTATGGGCTCTGCTAAATGCACCAGACAACTATGGAGCGAACGTGTAGTAGAAAATATAAGAAAAAAAAATATAACTAGTAATTAATTTTAAGTTAAATTATTAAACACTTTAGCTAATTGAGCTCTACCGTCTTCTCCGGAATATTTGTTAGTAAATTTAGCTGGCATGCTTTGTTTAATTGAATAATGCATATAGAAATAATGCATTTTAATATTTTTTATATTATTTTTTAACGATTGTTTTTTGTACACTTTTAGTTTTGCACAATCACTCACTCAGTCATCACTAAAAAACACTTACCCGCTTTTTACGATAGCCTGAGTTTTTTCTTCTTTTATGAAATTATACCGACCAGTAAATAAGTCTGGCATTAGTGAACGATATGTGTAAAAATTTTCCAATTTATTTTTTGCTTTTTCCAGGCTAAATTTCGAAGCCCGCAAGAATGCGATAAGAAATTGATCGCATGTACGTGACTTCAAGTGTGGCTGCTGTTCCACCCATTCACGTAACGCATTGAGAAAGTAAGGCGTATCGGCTGGATTTTCATTCAATTCCAGTGCTGCCTTCTTGGCTAAGGCGCTCGGTAAATCGCGTAAGTTCGACATTTGCGCGATCGATTCAACAATCAACATTTATTCCGCGAACACACAACTAAGACTAAAACCGTACTTGAGTTTCAACACCGCTTATATGCGTTTTCCAGCTTACCCACGTTCTTATGTAAGTTGCAATCAGTCACATTTGAATCCATACAAACGTGTATAAGTGTTTTTCGCGGACTAGATTTTCCGAAATTCTGCTTCTTCTTATTTTTCAAACTTGTTTCGATATTACTATTTTATGATTTTCACAAAAATTCAACACAGCCCCCTTTAGCTGTTATTTGTTTTTATTTTTTTTTATTTTTTTTTCATTTTTTTTATTTTTTTTCATTTAATTTTATTTATAAAAACTGCTTTTTTTATGTTGAGGTCTTGATTTGATATAAAAATTTTTATCTCACAGTTTTCCTAGTTTTTTCACTTGCGAAGAAAAAACATATTGATATTGTGTTTATTATAATTTTATTGAAGTAGATTTGTGCGCTTGGGTTGGCAAAGCCTCGTACCTCTGCAAACAAATCAAATCAAAATTGAAAGTTAGTTGTGTTAGCTTGGAGTTCGCATGAAGCGATGAAAAATAAAAAAAAAAAAAATTATAAAATTAATGTGAAATATGTGGCATAAAAATGCAATAAGTCAGACTATTATAGGTGTCAAATGTAATTATTGCTAACAAATTGGTTATAAGCATAGCAGAAGGAAGATCAGATCTAAGATCTTCTGTTTCTACAAAGTGAAGATTAATTTTGAAGATCGTGTATAAATATTATTTATTTGATAATTTTAATAAATTTAACAGCATGTATTACTTTACATTTACTCCTAACATACATAACTGCAACTACTGCAGCTGAATGAACGTATATACTCGTAGTATCTCCAACAACTACGAGTAGTTGGAGAAAGTGTGCAGGTGGCGAAAAGATACGCTTTTTAAAAACCAACATTTAAATTACAGTAATCCCCCCTATAATGCGGTAGCCTGATAATGCAATTTCAATCGTGCATACCCCCATATAACGCAGGGATTTGTAAAGTTCATAATTAGCTTCGCCTTCCTTTGCACGTGTGTAGACGGGATATACGGGAATACCTCTATAATGCGTTTTACTACCGTGTTATAGGGGGAGTTACTGTATTTAAGCATACATGTTTCATAATAGACAAATATAGAAACTAGATTAATTAAATTTGAATAAATTTTGGCCAATGATACTAACACAAATATAATCAAAACAAACCTTATATAGAAAGATTGCTTCATCAGAGAAGAGACCTGTGTTTGCTGATGCAGTAAATATCATAAATAGTAGAAATTTGTTAGTGAGATGAGTACAAACGTTAGCTCATAAACGATCAGATATACACAACTGATTTCGGTCATTGTTTGAGAGATTTTTGTGAGATGTGAAATAATTACTATACATAATTACTAAACAAGTGAAGAGTGGAAGAAGAAGTGTATTTCAGCTCTTGAATGTGCTCTAACAAATACGAATATAATTTCTTGTACAAATCAGATTGTTTTTCTACTTGTTTACTTCTTATAAAAAACAAATAATTTCATTTGAAAATGTATATAATTTGAACATATAAATTTTAAGTTTCCTAAAACAATTAAATGCGTTTAGACTTAAGAGGTTTATAACCTAGGTAAATGATGACAATGATTTGTATGCATGGTATGAGAAGAGCATCTTACGACTCTTTACTTACGATGATTGCTTCACCAATATTTGACATCAGTTTTTTGACAGCTAAACTAGTTTTGTTCTACGGTTTATGTATTCTACTAATGCACGAAAGTAAGATTGTTACTCTAATCCTAAGTGCGATGGAAAATAACACATCAATTGGATAGTTTATAACTTTGTTGGCATAAATAAAGCTGGAAATTGATTTGTAAGTAATATACCCGCATTTGTTTTGATTTCATTTTATGTATTATATTGTAGAGACTCCCAAAGTAAGCACTTTTACTTATATATCATCTAACATGTCACTTAGAGTGTTTCCGATGTACCATTAGGTTAGGTTAAGTTACGTTGGAGTGGCGGAGTTGTATAGCAAGAAAGCCTGCTTGAGCTCAAATAATGGTCCGTTATGGACCATTATTGATTCGTACATAGACTAAAATATTAGTAAACGGCGAAATCCGAAATTTGCAGCGACTTTCCGTATTAGATAAAGGTAAACCAACCTGTCAGTTCTATGAACCGGTGTAAGTCCCAATTATTGCAGGATGATAGCTCAGTCAGATTGGTAAGGATCTTCTACTAGCTAAAGATGGGCACTGACATATGAGATAAAACACAGTTTATTCCGCGTCCTCAGAGGCACAGCTGCGGCAAAGGTCATTATAATGAAGACCTAATCTCATAGCATGCCTCCGTATTATGCAGTGACCCGTCAGCACTAATACCGTAGTGCTGAACAGAATCACCTTTAGTTGAAGTAGCTGACTGGTACCTTTTTTGTCCAAATTAGACCAAATCGACTAAGAATAAGAATAGCTGGATTCATCAGCTTAGTGTTGCTTGACCATGTTTAGATATTTTTGTTGAATTGCCAGTCGTACGCTGTTGTAAGTGAAACGGCAATATCTAAGAATTGAATGTCAAAGAGAAGAGCCTCTGCCTTGGCAAGTTAATCCGCCAAAGATATTCTTATGACCAGAAACCCAAACCCTTAACCCTTAACGCACCTAGATGTAGATGTGCAATTACGTGGATTAAATATTATGCATATTGTTTTATGATTGGTTATGCAATATTTATGATTGGTTTTGTTGGTGTGACAATTGGTATGAATATAAGATCAGAATATATTAAACCACTGAATCATAACATTCCATTCCAAAATAACTCTTGCTAGAGTTTTTGTGTTTCTTGTTTAGCTCTAAACCTTTCTTTGAACAATAAGTAGAACAATAAGTTTTATAAGTAATAATATTGATAATTTCTGTATTGAAGATATTGTTTCGTCTCCGAATCACTCTAGGCATTGTATCAAGAGTATGTGCTGAAGTTGCATTTATTTTATGAACTTTACCACTTAGTGGCATTCCAAATGTTTTCCAATATTTGAGGAGTAAAATATATATTTAGATATGAAACCGTTCACTGTTCTCCGTTTCTGATCGATGCTTATTTTGTTATTAAGTTCTTCATTTCTGTTCTTATGGTGTGATTCTCTGTTCTATATTCGAGTAGTAAAATATTTATTTAGTTATGTAGCCGTTCACTGTTCTTTGTTTCTTAAATACATTATGTGTATAACACTGACTCCATAGATTTGCTACAAAAATTACTCAATATTAACTTTTACTAAAGATCTATTGCTAAAGTGAATTGTCTTAACTATAGTAACGTCGTGACTCAGTGCAATTTAAATAATAATAAAAAAATTAAAAACATTTTAGTTGTAGATATTTTAATAATATAGGTTTCTGGCATCATCTATTTGAATTCAAATAAAATTGTTGAATATATTTGTGTGATTTTCGAATATGTAAGTATGAGAAGCTTCAACTATTACAAATTTCTGTTAAGAGTCTCCGCCTGACTTGATCCTTTGACTCAGAAATATTTTTTAAAAGTTTGCATAGATGGATAAACATTCGAGTACGTACTCATGCACTTTGCCATCATTGCATTTTATGAAGTATTTCGCTTTTAGCCATCAAATGACTGACGAAAAACATGAGTGATTGCGCTGAGTGCGGAGGCATGTCCACATCAAATCACACGTTGAAATCGCTCTTACTACATTCAATAGGGCATAATTAGAGGTGAAGCAATTGGCGTGCGGTTTTTACGATTGTTTCTCAGAATTGCAGCTTTATGAAAACTTTAATAATAGTACGTAGCGAGCGTCTCGCATGATATTTGATCAATTTTCTTCATGTTGCATTGGACTTATTAAAGCCGTGAATATTGCAATAAGCAGTTTCTCTTTTTGAATTTCGTATCACTGCACCCAAAAGTAATAATTTGTTTTCCAAATCATTTTCGCAATACACAACAATTTTAATTTACAAAAATTTTAATTTAATTTTTATTTTATAATTAATGCTTCTAAGCTACTAGTTGCACTAATCTTTACATTTGTTTTAATGTAGTATTTTATGATAATTATCTTCAATTGTGATCTTTGAGCTTTTTTATACGATATTTCAATTAAATGGTTTCATAAGTTTACCAATGATATCATTACTTGGTAGCTATAGTTTTTCGTTAAAAAAGTCAGTAGTTAGCTCATTTTAAAAGAAGATTACAAAGAAACGTAATTTGTAACGTATTTAACGTAATTATCTAGTTTATCCGCAATTTTATTATATTGTATCTCCTGCTGCTCTGGCACGCAATTCAAAGATATTGTGCTTTGGAACGTCTCAGACTCTAACAATTATAAAGGCATAACGATGTTACGCATTCTAAGCAAAGTCTTCGCTACAATCTTGGTGGCTGCGGAGAAAGGTGTGCGAAAATCAGTTTTAAGATTTTCTGGCGTTAGAAAAACGGATCGTGCATGGACCTTATTAATACAATACGAATTATAGTTGAGTTATGTTGTAAATACAAAACGTCGTCTACTTAATTTTCATCGATTTTATAAAAAAGCATTCAATAGTCTTGTTAGAAGATATCTGTGGAAATTAGTTCGAATAGCGATCTACCTACTAAACTATTCAATATCATAAAGCCTATGTATGTTGGGTTTAAATGTCGCGTAAATCATGTTGAGCTTCTATCACATACCTCTAAAGTGAATAGTGTTGTCCGTTGGGAGTGGGTACTTTCTTCACTTTTCTTTATTTTAGTAATAGATGAAGCTGTAAGAAATGCGATGCATGGTAGATATAGTACTTAGTAGTTTCCTTTCGATCAACTAGAATACCTGAACTACGCTGATGATGAGCTGATTGTGTTTGAGTTGAATATGCGAAGTTTGTAGACAACAAGTCTTTATTAAGAAGTGTTTGCGTTGCATTCATAAAATTTAGAGAATCTCCAATCAGAAACTGTGAATACAGACTAATCAAACTCAAAGAATATGTGTAACCAGAAAGCGTAAGTAGTCGTGGTTTGGCCATCATAAGACCTAAAAACAAGAT